TTCGTTTTACCTTACGCCCAGGCGAAACCGACGCTACGAGCTGAGGGAATAATCAGAGAGCGTAAAAAGCGCTCCATCATGCTGCTCTTCGTGCTTCTGTAAGTGTACTATCATCGTTGAACCAATGTTAAAACGAGAAGGTCTGGTGACTTTCGCTTTTCACGCTGCTTGATTGTTTTCATTAGATCGCAGCGTCGGCTACATCTAGACTAAAGCTGAAACAACGTATACCATACTTGAGAGAAAAAGATATTTGACCTAGCTCGCCAAAGCAAACCATCTTTTAGTTAAAGTCGCTTAAAGTAAATATATTCCAAGATTAAAAATAAAAATAAAAACTACCATGCTTGCTGCATTAGCCGATGACCGAGGGCGCCAGGAAAGGAAACGTAAGCGATACAGAGACACGTACAAACCTGAAATAACTGAACCCTAGACAAGGAGGGAGAGAAAGACACTAACAAAGAGGGGCAAGACAACGTCTCTCAGAAACGCTGCGTGTTGTTATTTTGCCGTGTTCCTCTTCTTTGCTGTCCCAGGTTCAGTTACGTTAAGTAGTCCCCATCTGGCCTACGCGCACATTCTTCGTTCTGTACACGTCCAAAAAAGTCCCGCTTAGTCCTGTAACTCTCAGACAGAATTTTTAGCGACACCGGCCATACTTAATATTTATATTTGAAAAAAAGCTAACGCTTTTTTGAGGTTTATTCGAGTTCATTTTTGTTAGATTCCCATTCCTCCGAAATTAGGAGTTTAGTTTTGCACTGTTCTTATTCGTTTAATCAAGGTGAATAGCGTCCGGAGCGAAACATACGCTAAATTCATAAAAAAGTTTCACCGGTATAAAATATATTTATGTAACTGCATTTGACATCGGCGCCCTTGCGAGGGCCATTACGAATTGTGCCAGGACAAATCTTGAAAACGATTATTGCTTCAATAAACGTCTCTCCTTTGAAATAACCAAACTCCTGGGCGCATAACACCTTCAGCTGACTTCCCTATCCTTTGGAATCTACAGGTTCACATCTTACACTGTTATAAAAAAATAACTCCTCCTACCACTAAGAAGCATAACTAGTATGGTCCAAACTGCAATCCGAAACAATGGCGTGTTGTCGAGGGCCGTGTTCCAGGTGTACATCGAACTCAATAAAACTTGACAGCTCCTTTATGTCATTAGTTCAAAAACAAAACAAAAAAACTGAATTGTTTTAATTATTTTTAATTTTTTTATTTATTTATTTTTTCTTTGGGGGGGTGGGAAATAACAATCTAGCCCCCTCCTCTGACAAACTTTATTCATTAAATACCGATTTCGAGCTTTGTCCTATGCCATGGTGACATTGAAATTGGGAGTTCTTCGGATAAATTGAATTGTCGGAAAATTATCCGGCGATCGTTTTTCGGAACCCTAATACAGAACCCTAATTATAACACACACGGTACTTGTCTCAGACATGATGAGGACACGTGGATAAAACCATTCGGCCTCGCCTAGCACCGCTGCACGCCAGCTGCAGGAAGAATGCCATGCCTCGATCGCGCGGCGTTCTTCATGTTGCCCCTGTTGAACCTGCACCTTGCATGCAGAAACAGGAAAAAACACAGTGCGGCGCCGTCGTGGCGCCAGTATAAATTATTGTCGCACATAGCGCCTCTCTACGCTGTACTGAATGACCGAATGCACCCATGATATAACAGCTCGTCTCCATGCTTAAAGCTTCAATCCCAAACGCGCCACGAAACTAGTTTAGCGGGAAAACCAGTGACTCTGCGAAGTCATTTTGATCCAATGTGAACGTGATTTTACCTTCTTAAATCAAGTAAGTGTCATCATACCGATCATATTTGTTACATCCAGCACTGGTTCGCTTCATTTTGTATTGTCTTGTCTGAAGAGTCGCGTGTCTTTTTTCTTTCTAATACGGCAGATATTCAGAAAAATAGGGATACTGTAAATAAAGAAATTGTCCTGGGAATAACGTTCTCGACCGCAGCGGAGGTCAAGGCATGGGTATACAAAAAAGTTAGTGGCTTAAACAACTGAAATTCGCTAAGTTTCTTACTATAAGATGAGTTGTAAGATTGTAGAAAAATGGAATCCGAGGGTTATCACGGAGAAAATTCGCTAAATTCGCCACCGACTCAAACAAATTATCTGGCCTTACTAACGACGGGCTACAAATCTCGAAATGAAATATGCCAGCTAAAATAAAATTAGAAATTAGATCGCGAACATTATCCACCCTACTGAAAAAACCTGTAGAAAAATTTATACTGGTTGACCCGTATAAATCATACGGTGTTATCGGACACGGGTCTCCCGTATGCTAATGGCAACCCGTACCTGTATGGGTTGACCCATTCAGATACAAGAACCCGTACCTGTTTGGGTTAACCCGTTTAAATATAGGAACCCACACTTTACAGGTTAACCCATTTAGATATAGGAACCAATATTTATACATGTTCACCTGTTCAGATAGAAAAACCTATCTATATCTTTACGGGTTTACCCGTTCTGACGCAGTAATAGGAATCAACATGGTGTTAAACGTTGGCATACGGACGTATGGATTTTTGCAGGTTTAACAGTTTGCATGCATTTGTCATGCAAAGAATGAGCATGAGCCAGGTCCTTTCAGGTTATATGTGTATTTAGTGAAGGCAAATTGGCATACTGCAGAACATCAACAAGAAGCTTAACCTCTAAGCAAGCTTAGAAGTCAAGCTTCTCGATAAAATCCTGCTGCAGCTGCCGCACGTGGTAGTTGACCCGAGCTGTCCTCTTCCCTGGAGAGGCCGCTCGAGGATGCCTCCGTCTGTACTCGTTGAAGGAATCTGCAGGGGAAATGACTACAACAATAAGTCATGTATATCTAGTTTCTCAAAAAAATTAATATTTTACTTCCCGCCAATTATAAGCAACCAATTTCCACCACAATGTATGCTTTGTCAATATCTTGTGATACCATGTAGCCTTCAAGACCGACTTCCTACGATTACGAAGCCTGCTTAAAATGATTCGGCCAGAAGGCTTTGAACCAGTTCAGATCGAGTTCGGAGGAGTGCAGAAACAGTTTGCAAGTCGGGCTGTGGCTGAGTGAAGTTAAGTTGCAGCGTTGCAAACGACGCTGTAATTGGCTTCCGAAAGGCCGGAGAGTTGCCATCTGTTACTGCATGAACGCTGAATTGACTTCGGCCAGCGCAAGATTCTGTGGAACTGAGCTTAAGCTCGTAAAGCACTGGGATAAATCGAACAGGCCTGTTCAGCGTCCACGCAACTTCCGGTTGAATCTAATGCGTCAGTTCTTGCACTATATGAACTAGATCGGCCGGTTCAGGCAAATCGAAAAGACCTAGAGTGACTTTCCACAAATGTGCACTTAAAGTTTGCTTGCAACAGTGTGTTCCTTGCCTTTCAGTGTTTATATAAAAATTATAGACCCTGGAGCGGGGGTACCAAAAGGGACGGAAAGACACAAAACTCCGGAGTTTGGTGTCTCTGTCCCTTTTTGTGCCCACGCTTCCGGGTTGCCACGTTTATCCTTAACCAGCTTGCCTGCCTGATAACTAAAATAAAAGTATGTACTATGAATCCAAATACGTATTTTCAATTATGAGCATGTGCGTCCGGTTGCCAAGAACCTTGAACATATTTCATGCCCAGCAATGTCACCATGAAAACTAGCCAAAGCAACACTGAACACACAATTCTCGGCCGGCGGTTTTTGTGCGAAAGAAAGATTTTGAGCCGCAATTGCTCTTTCCGGGCATGTATATAAATTGCCAACACAGATTTCACATCAAGAATCATCTATCCAATTTAATATCCGTGTCATGACCCTTCAATGGTCCATTCATACGAGATAGTTCCCTGGTAAGAAAACTGAGCATGCCGTAGACTAGAAAGGAGGAACACCCACGATGAGAAGGCTGTTCAGAAAATATGGGCAGTATTCTAAGGACAGAACCAAACATAGTTGGGTTGCAGCAGTTCTAGTGAAGAAACAGACTCACTTTCGCAACTTTGCTAGTGCCAGCTTTTCATTCAAAAGAAAAAATAAGTGCCTCGCAGTTCTTTTGGGGAGCCAGCAGAAGGTCCTCCGAGCAGGCCACTGATATCATGGACCTCCCCCAAAACTTGCAGGGATTAGCAGATATTTCCGACGCGGATCATGTTACTGCAAAACTTCCATAGTGTGAATACATCAGAAACCGCCAAGCGACCTAGATTACCGTGACAAGATCAGTCTATTTTTCTTCATATATTAAAACCAAAGAGGGATAGGGTCTCTTCATTTCGGTTTCGCGCTCGGGGCTTCACGTTCCTAAAGCTCGAACTAGTCGAATTATTACCCTTCAACAGCCTATAACAGTGAAAGTTCTAAAAGCCTTAGAATATTTTATCGCATTAGTTTCGTCGTAGCAGATTGCAACTTCGGAAGCCATCAGGCTTGAATGTCTAACCGAGTATGAGACATCCGTGAGAAGTGGGCACTTACTGCTGACTCCTGCCAACTTGACTGGAGTCAGGGCCCTCTTGGCCACGGCGCCAGCCGAATGCAGCTAACGGAGTTCCCGGTTGGGCCGATTGGGGCGCCGCGTCGCTGGCTTCTCTCTCGTACGTCCACCCAAAGAGCAGATTCGTTGGTCTAGCCAACAGTCTCACGCCAGACTGTTTCGCCGCTGTACTTTTGAGCGCTGGCGTCGTGAATAGGATCTTCGCTACCAAAACCGAAGCACTCTGGGCTCTTCCGACCAATCACCAACCTTCAGTGTGGGGGCAAACGACCGTTTTTGTCTTCTCTTTTTGCTTGAGCTCGTCACTCCAAGCTTTCAAACCGTTCCGCGCGTGTTGAAACCGAAAGTGTAGATTTCACGGAGTACGGAGCCGCGCGTCTGCGCTCAGAAAATGGTTAGAGGGATTAGAGACGTCCAGAGCCGTCTCTAGTTTGACAGAGATTCTGCCGAGTGAGTTGCGTGCCTCATTACGGCGTATTACGGAGTCTACTGCGCGGCCAAGTGGAGTAACAGTTCTTCAAAAGAACTCGGAGTGCTTATTCTTCCGGTTTCCAACAAACGGCGGGTGAGCCTTTATATCAAACTTTTTTTGTCAACGTTCGAAACTGGAAGCATTGAAATATATGATCTCTCAATCTTTCCATGACAGCATCGAAATGGATTGCGTATGCAAAGCGCCAGGACTTTGGAAACCTGCCGGTGAGCAAGCTGCGTCCGTGTCGTCTGTGCTGCAAGCACGCCGGTGCAACCGCGTTTGCAAAATGTAGGAAGATTCGTTTGCGGAAAAACACGTGCCTCACCGTTCTTGTTACGAATCCGTTGCTGCAAGGACTGGTTCCTCCAAGTGAGTTGCTGTCAGAGTCTTTAGTTAATTTGACAGCTTCTAGGATAGAGTACCTAAAAGCGCCCACAATCAGTCACTCCAGAAGATTTTTTTTTTTCTTCTTTGCGTTGCCAATTTGGGAGTTTGTTTATGGTTTATTTGTCGTTTATTCTTATGGAGCTCGCCTGCAACCCTGCGTTAATTAAATTAAAATGCAAGTCTGCTTTATATCGGAGTTGATTAGTTTGTTTGGGTATTCAGCATTTTTGTTTGTAGGAGTTGTTTATAGACGCATTTAGATAATTCGATTATAAGTGCTGTTCTGTTAGTTTGTACATTAAAGTGGTTAATTTGGTTTTTACATATTTGATAACGTTTACTGCCTACTACAGTTCTTGGTTCCGCTCAAGGGGCGGTGGACTGCCGACGGAGTTTGTAAATACGTGCTTGGAATACTGCAACTAATTTGAATGGTGTTCAATAAAATATACATTTCAATGAACGTGCTGTTTTTGTTTTATTGCACTGGTAATTAATATCTCGCGAAGCGCATTTGTTGCGAAGTGTAGCGCGCGCGGCTCGTCTGCTCGACCGGTGCCGCGCTGGCCGCTCGCAGCGGCCAGCGCGACACCGATCGAGCAAACGAGGAAAACAAACCGAAAAAATAATAATAATAATACAAAAAGGAGCGGGAGGGAGAGAGAGAGAGAGAGCAGAGAGAGGGGGAGGAGGAGGGTCGGAGGGCGCCTGCCGCGCCTGCGCACGCCAACGACATTGGTGGCGCCATCTGGCGGTCTCCCGATATTTTATTTTATTTTATTTTATTCACGATACCAGAGGCACTCCTCCCACAAATGCCCGCCCTGTTTTAAGAAAAGTTTTGGCCCATCTGACTGACTGACTGATTTACTTTTTTCAGTCTCACGCCCTACTTTCTGCCACTTGCGACTTGTGGCGCTAGTTTCTCCTTACCACGGTGGAGGCTACAGCTGCACTCGGCTGACGGCGCCCTTGAGGCGCCGTCATGGCACCCCAGTCACACTCCGCCCATGCCGGTTCTCATCGCTGAAGACCAGCTTCTTGACCACTTTAACGAACATGGAGTCTCCACGGGGTCATATGACGTAGGACAGTTTGTCCTTTTGCACCAAGACACCATGGCCAATTTTAATGTAGTAATAGATCCGTGAATAGGTTAATTAGCATTTACCACATTAATCTGATGCTATGATGGCCCTTTCGATGGAGGGACTGGATAAATCAGTTTCCCAACAGATTGATTGCGATGAATTTTAGTGCGCTTTTTCCCATAGTTTGGATGCAAACACCTTACGACATAGACCAGTGGTCTCCAAATCGATACGGCCCGCGAAAGTCTTCCGACCGGCGCGCCGCTCGCCACGGTCTTTCAACTCAAGCCCGGCTTGCGGCCCACTTAAAGCAGACCCGCTGCTAGCGGTACAGAAAGAAGTGCGTGTAAAGAAATGACGGCGTAAAACACCCCAAATGAACAAACTAAGATACCAGAAAGAATGAAAAAAAAACTGTATTGCAACAAGTGTTCTTTCACCATATATTAATTTAACAATGTCATCACTAGCATTACGCACCGTTCTTAGCCCCCGATTCATGTCTGTGTTATTATATTAAAATTCCATTGTATTCTCATGGGCATTGCGCTTAGTGTCCTCTTTCATAACTATCGCATATTCTCAGCACTAGTTTTATTATTCTCTTTAGTCTCTTGCACTGCGTGAATGTGCCAAAGTTCCCATGCGCTTTGATTTATGCCTGGTGTGTTTTCATAGTCACAACTGTTAGGCAAATAATAAATGGTAATTTGATGTATACATACTCATCAACCCCACGATTTTTAACACTTACTCTGACATTAAATTCTGTGTTTAAATATTTATCTACGTAAAATACCAAGTATGCGCCCCCACTCACGTAAGCGCCCCCTCCGTTTTACGAAAATTCCACATTTTTGCAAAAGAACAAACAAGCGCCCCATTACCCCAATAACCTGCCGGAGGCTGCTTTTTTTTTTTTTTTCGTGATAAGTTGATTTTTGTGGTCCTATTACATATGACATACCCCCCCCCCCCCCCCACCCCGCCCCCATTATTTGCTGAATTATCTCCACATCTGGAAGGCGGGCGCATGCTCGGTATTTTACGGTAGGATTATTTACCCAGATTTTCTTCGAGTGTAATTAGTATCTTTCTCTGGCCCTCGAGACTGCGACAGATTGCTAATCCGGTTCGTAACCCTAAAAGGTTGGAGACCCCTGACGTAGGCGAACGAGAGAAAATGTCAGCCATTTAAATTTCAACCTTAGGAAGAAAAACAAAACGGGCGGACAAATAACTTTTTGTGGGTGTGTGATGATCAGTATTTTTTAATTCTCCTCCTCAAGTTTGATTCTAATTACAAACAAGCTCGTCCTGTCCAATTGCATTTGCTTTGCCGCCTATGCAATTTTCAGTCACAATAAATGTCACAATGCTATTTGATTGTTTTCATAAATATAAGCTTAGATGGATTTCTGTCCGTAAGAAAAAGCCGTCTTTTTTTCTTTTGTGTGAGATAATTTTTATAATTGTTTTACTCTATATCAAAGTTTACTTCAGTTAAAAAAAAATAAAAGTCCCAATGGGAGCTCATATATCTATGCGAGCGCTTGTTTTTTCTTAAAGGGAACCCAATTAATATTTTGCAACAGAGTCACGTATATTTTTATTAAAGCTAAAACACACAACTGCTCGAAACAGAAACTGAAACCCGCGCACGGGTCTAGGAGGTGTTGACGGAGGTCGGAGAAGTGGAGAGGAGAGAGGGAGTAGCAGAAGTCACGTGGCTACACCCGACCGTGAGCTTTTTTTGTTTTCCCCTCCGTGTTTCTTTTCTTGTTTTTTTTCTTTTTGCACAGCAGACGACATGCGTGGCTGGAAGTGTTTGCCGTGCGAGTGCCCGCGGTGAATTTCCGTGATCGGCTCCGAAAAGAATACCCCCAAGATGTCGCGGGAAGACCTGGCTCGAATCCCTGCGTCCGTAGAAAGTGGGACTGTGCGGCAGACGTCTGCACAAGTTTTCGAAAGATCCACGAGATCGGGACCAATGGCTGGCTGCAATTCCTGTAGAGCATTTACGGGCACCTCGGAAAGCAGACGCTACCCGATTTATATGCTCCTTACATTTTGTGGAAAGTGATTGCATTCAGTTCGTAGGTGTCAAAAAGGAAATCCCATACCATTTATTTTAGCAACCTTTCGTCCACAACATTTTCTTTTTTTTTTTCAGTGACAATTCTAAAAAAAGAAGAAATGTAAACATGGCAAAATGTTAATAAATATTTAAAAAAAATGAAAGCAGTTTACAACTCCCTGTAACACTGAATTAGAGCGCAGCTCTTGAGGAGGAGGAGGGGAAGGGTACGGGGGGGAAGATATATATCCAAATAATTTACGAGGGGGAATACAGGACACTCCTTGCGAATACAATGGCCTCGGGGACGACAGGTTTTGCGCACTTTGAATGAGTGGATGTGTCATGGCATTGCGGTTTTCCCCATTAAGACCGGGTGGTGACTAGCGCCGTCTCTCCGTGCGGGATAATTTACTACCGGCCGAACTTCTTTCAGTGTGTGCACGTTGTTCGGACGCGGCGGCTTAGGACGTCTGTTGAACTTAAAAAACTGCGGGCACTTTATTGGCGACTCATTTAAAGGGCACGTATACGTAGGATGAACTCTTTGTCTACGTTCTGTTATACAAACCGCAAGCATGTAGCTCAATCAACGAGTATCGAAATTTGTATGGGCGGTTTTGAAAGCTGCTCTAATAAGTGTGGTTAGTCGTAATCGCACTTTAAAGCAGTTCGGAGAAACTAATATTAAGGCACTATGTCCACACGAGAAACACGTTTAGCAGGCACAGTAATGTATTGTCATATACTGCATTGCAAAGTATTTGCTAGTATGATTATCGCTGAAGCGCCTGAGAAGGCACCTTGAGTAAACGACTCTATTTTTGCGAGCTTAGTATGTCGGGAATTTTTCAAAGTGCTGGTTTCGGTAATGTCTGGCTGGCGCGAAATTGTGATATCAGGAGTGGGGTTCTGTGTATTACATATGAGACGATAGAACCGAGGGATTCATTTCTCACTATTTTCATATTGCGAATAGATGGTGCTTTGCAGCATCCCAATGCAGCAGAACATATATTCAGAAAGTTGGGAATAGTTTTTTTATTACTTCGCGGTTAGTCAACATTATTCCTAATAGACCATGTTGGCCTTGAACAAAGTTGGTTTGGATTATTTTTGTTATTTCTACAATGATAATGAAGGTGCGAATTCAGATTCTACTCATAAATATCATTCGACAGTTTTTTCTTTTTTTTTTTGTTGAAACAATGTTTATTGCACATTGAACAAATATGTACAGCTTTGCATTCAACACAGATCTCTCTTTACACAGACAATTACACTTTGCACAAATGTATACAGCTCAGCATTCAACAAGCATGGATAATATATATGTTTTACACACACATTTTGAATAAGGTAGGTCAGCATACGAAACGCGACGCCAAAGTTGTTTACTTACGTGATTTGACCTGGAGGGAACCGAAAGAATGACAGGCTTTCGCCCTGCAAGATTCGGTTGTTGCAGGGGAGAACTGAAGACACTGTAGCTCCTGCCATCTTCACTGACTGTTTTCAGCGGCCAACGCGTCATACTTGGTGCATTACAACAGGACACTGTAGCGTGTCATCCGCAGAGAAGGACGCCGGCATCAACATGCGGTGACAGGTCGCGCAGTGGTGGCCGCCGATAGTCGTCGCGCCTCGCGCCCGGCCTAGCCCGGCACCCGCGTGATCGCCCGCCCGCGTTTATCATCGTCGGTGACGCATATCGGTCACGTGTTCTGGCGAGAGGAGAAAATGGCAGAGGAGGGGAGGGAAAATAGAGAGAGGGACACACCCAGATTATCCCGCGCCACCGGGGAGGCATTGGCACGGCCATCACTTCGTCTTATGCAAATTGAATTGAATTTTGAATTTGAATTGAATTGAATTGGTTTTATTTAGACACTAGGTCAAGGGTAACAGGATAAAAGGCAGATTATCTCTGCCTGACGTGGTCCTATCACCCGTTTACAATGCTCAGCAGGCGAAAACAAGAACAAAAAACACTAAAGAAGTACAAAAAGATACGATAGCACATCAAAATCAATCAGCACAGCAGATTTTGTACAGAGCCCATACAATCGTTAGTGCACTTAACACTTTGTAAGTAAATGAAATAGGTAATACAACTCATACGCAATGAAAATACGATCTAAAAGTATTTACTCAACGTGACATGACAGAAGGTACCGCTTTATACTAATTTTAAAGCTGTGTTTTGATACACAATCTGAAATTATTTCCCTATGAGCTGGATGTTTATTTCAGAAATCAGGTATTAAGTATGCTAATTGGTGATGTTCATATTTTGTCCTAGACCAACGTACTCTATAGGAGCCATGACGAAGATTGTATCGTGTGTTACTAGGAAAAAGTGCATCAAAAAAGCGGGTGGGGTCACTGATCGTTTCGTTATAGATATACATTGAAAGTTTAAGAAGGAATAGCTGACTAATGGTAAGAAAACCGTATTTAAAAAGTATCTGTGCTGTGTGGTCAGTACGCTGAAGGTTTTCTATACAACGTATCGCTTTCTTTTGCAAAAGAAACAACCTATCAATATTTGTTTTAGTTGTTGAACCCCAAACTAATAAACAGTAATGGAGATGAGAGTACACTAAAGAATAGTACAACTCACGTTTTAACCAGTATGGAACCAGCGATCTAATTTTGTATAAAATACAAATAGATCTTGAGATGCTTGCATGCATTTTATTTATACGAGGTGTCCAGCTTAGATTTTCTTCAAAAACAACTCCCAAAAATTTATAAACGTTGACAAGCTCG